TCCCTCAAGGACTACCGTCAGAACAAAGTAGTCTGAAATCCAGTTGTGATGTACTACAAAATCTAGCAGTTGAGTTAGAGACAAAAAAACCAGAACATTCTTGATGGCTCCTTCTAACAATAAACATTGCTGAATATTCCAGTTAAAACGATCAAGATGTTTAGGGACTCCTTTAACATTTTTAATAATAAGTTTTAAAAATATTTCAAAAGCTGAGGAAAAGAAGAAACAAAAATAAGAGATAATGATTAAATAACAAGTTTGTGACAGTATCTGGATGTTTGGTTTTTTGCCTCCATTCATAATTGAAATCATATTTGTCTGTGTTGCAGGTGCCAGGCTGTACCACCCCTCTACCCTACCAATCCTATTGCTCTTCACACCTTCAGGGTCAGGGCTGCTCTCCTCTTGAGGCCCGTGGGATCCTCTCACTAACATTAATGGCAGGCAGGCATGCACATCAGTGGGAAAATTAAAAGGATGTTTACCTGTTATTGAAAATTCAGCTTCAGAAGGAAGTCAGTCTGCCTTACAAACAAGTGACAAACCAGGATTTGAAGGACTGCTATAAACAGGACAGCTTTTTTCCTCCAGAAAAGTGTTATAAGTAGAGGGCTCACTAGAACTCTAAGTTCAATGAAAGGGCATTCTGTTGTTACTTTCAAGCTGGAACAGCTCAGGCCAAAAGGCCTGCCCTCAAACCTCATTCCCTGATCTTACCCCAGACTTTCTGTTAGAATTGGGATGTGTAAGAGTGATCTGTACTCAATTCCTACATGAAAATGTCTCTCTTGAAGAAGGTTTCTTTTTCTGGTTCGCTATATTAAAACCGATGGTTTGCATTTCAGAAATCTTTGTGAGTTAGAGAGGTGACAGAAATTTTGCACCAGTACCTTAAAGTACAGAGTGTCCCTTATCTTTAAGGTCCAGTGACTGCCACAGGCAGCTTTTCATGGCCATGGGGAGTTTGCAGGAGTGAGCCATTGGGAAGAAGAGAGAATAAATCAGGAACACAAACACAAACTTTAGACAACAAAAGAACTTCTCCAAAGGTGTAAAAATGGGAAGGTGATGCTGACACTGCATCTGCCATCAGAATTCATTGCAGAAATTTACAGACAAAAATATTTCCAACAGTAAATGCCATAAAATCTTGTTTTCAGCTCAAGTATTTTCTAAATTGATAGCAATGTTTAGCTCCCAGAAAAGCACATATGTTCATTCCAAGGGCTCCCCAAATTTCCAAATCTAACTATTAATGAGTTTAGCAGACTTCCACTTCATTTAGAAATTTTGTTATATTTTTCCCATAGTAGAGCTTACACCTTGCCTTGCTTCTGCCTTTGCAGTCAGACCTCACCGTGCAGCTACAGCGTTGACATCTCACATCCTGAGCATGAGGCAGCAGCACAGGGACCAAGCTTTGCATCCTTCCAGTGCTCCCCTGGTTCCCTGTGCCCACTGCCCACAGGAGCAGCAGGATGGCTCTGCTCCCTTCCTGCTCCACAGAAATGTCCTGCAGGCGCTGCACAGCCTCTCTCCTTCGGTGCAGTGATTCCACGCTTGCCTGTCCTGCCCTTCACAGCCTTGCCCTTGACAGAAAGGAACTGACCAACTCTTTCACATTTATAATACTTTAGGATGACCTATGTGAAATGTTCTAAGCACTAAACCAAACGGGTTATATACAGAAAGGATGCAATACTTCCAAGAAGAGAATCTGTACGAATGTCATTGTTCTACAATTATTTAAGGCTACACTGACAGGAAACCGATTCAATTCAAGATCTGCAATTTCTACATGGTTTGCTGGCACACAGAAAAGTAATTAATTTGATACATTTTTTCAAGTACTTACTGTACTTTTGAACAAAGGCAAACAACAAAAAGCTATGAAGAAAATACAGCCAACTCTGGGGAAAATGTAAGTGCCTCCAATTTGTTACTGATACTTTTGTTCTTCGGCAATTCTGTTTCATGCTTAAGACCTAACTGAATGCACAAAACCACACTGTGTGAGCAAGCCCTTATGTAGGGTTTAAAAAACTCACAACAGATGAAGGCAGATTTCAAATACAAAGGTGTAGGTTTGCATAAGCAAAGAAAAACAAAATTACAAACAAATCACATCATAAGAATAGGTTCTAGGAAGAAAAAACTAACATGACAGCTATTGCTACTGCAATTAACTCACAAAATCCCAAGGTGAATCCAGTTACTGGTGTGAGTGGTTTTGCACAGCAAATCCATATTCTACTGTGTCAAAATTAAACATTCATTTCCATTCTTTAAACATTCAGTTTCTAGCCTCTGTACAGTATAAATCCAAATAAACCAATCCTTCTCTGAAGCACAGACTGGTCCCGAATACTTTAGGAAAAGTCCTAGAGAGAGATTCCTCTTCCCAAATGAGCCCAACACAGAGTACCATAAATCTCTGTTGTGTCTAAATCAAGATTTCAGTGCCATGGAAATCTAAATGGTGAAATGCAATGCTGAAGCAACGCAACCTACAAACAGAAACCCACATCATGACACTGTTTCGTTTAGTTTGGTTCTGTAAGAGGTTATTTGCTGCACCTTCCAAACTGACTTCTTCATTTGTTCAGTGATGATGTATGTTCTCCACTGGAATTACCTGACCCAGTTCTTGCTGTTCAATATTGTACATTTTAAATAACAAAACCTGTACAAAGAGACAACCATCAAGAGACAATTTTCAGTTTTAGGAAAGAGCATCTAAATATCCACAAACAGAATAGATAAAACCACTTCCACATCCAATGAAAAACTGCTTCACAACAGCTTCTACGTCATTGCTTCTATTATATGGAAAGCTGCCAAGGTTGTGAAAATTGGAGCATTTTCCTTATGCATATTAAATTAATGCTGATTTTGTATTAAATTCTACACTCAACATTACATTTCTTAAACTGGACTAACAAAACTGACCGAGAGAGACAACCTGCATTGTATTACTGCAAGACCATTCTTGTTTAAAAAAAGTTTTTGCATTATTTGTATTTAGTAAAAAAGCTTCTGTAAATGAAGCAGCAGTGCAATATCAGGAGGAAAAAAACCCAAAAACCAAAGGTCTGTAATAATGTTTAAGTCTTTAAATCAACAAAAACTGAAAGCCTGGCTCTGCAAATAAATCACTCTAATGACACCAAATAAACCAAGACATGGAATTACAAAATCCTTTAAAAAGGACTTAATGAAATTGTTAAATAGTGTGAGAATTTGAAAACCATGTGAAATATCTTTATTACAGCATACACACTATCCCCAGCCTCACTGTACTTGACTGTCTGTATACCCCAAAGCCAGGAATTGTTCAAAGGTATTATAAAGGAATTCAAGAGGAACACATCTGTCCTAATGAGAACACTTGAGACTAACACTAATTGTCTCAACAAAATCCAATACTTTACTCTTCTATCCACCAAGTGCTACAACAGTCAGTGAGGTGTCATATTAGTAAGACATTACCATCATTTATAAGAAAAAAGAAATTGCTTGTTTTCTTTACAGGAACAATTAAAATTAAACAAAACTTGTAATTACAAGCAAAAAGAATATTTAAATTGGAAAGCTTTTTAAAAATACATTAACTCAGTAATTTATAATTTTAGTAATATGAATTAGACTCAGCAGTCAATAAATTAGTGCGAGTCCAGCTAAAGGCTTTGGGACAAATAGGAACCTCAGAAGCACTGATATTTCCCCAGTTTTGGTGGATGCCAGGAGTGTTTATCTGGTGATACTGCAGCTCGCAACTGCATGATTAGAAAGCTGTATCCCAACCTGAACATAAGCAAAGCAAACTTCTATTTTGTGTGTGAACATTCGTGCAATTGCTGGCAAATCACTAGAAAAATAACTTACTGATATTCTCTTCTTCAAGAAGAAAGGTAAAAACCCCTGGTCTGCTCTCTACTTCCCACAAACAGCATATGGTAATGCCTAAAACAGCTCACAAGAGACCTGAATGGATACCTATTTCAAGCAAAGCCATAATATTTTGCATTCATTCAGAGTAGTTCAAATGCTGCTACTTCCTTCACAGTCTTTCAACCTAACTTCCAACTGCTGACATTTTAAAGAAACCTGTATCAATTTGTTTAATGAAAATATATTTTAGTAAAGTCGTGCTCTATGAGCTTCCTACATTGGAATACATGAATAGAGGAAGTGCTTTCAACAGAAAGTTACATAGTTTTACAGTACAACCTGTCTAAGGAGTTTTGGAAGGGACCAAACGAATGGTCTGGTCTCTTTGGATTAGGCAGAAGTACAGGCAAGAGGGAAAAACCCAATTTTTTGCCATATATAGAGCTTGTTCCTGTCACAAATTGAAGAAACATTAGTTTGATGTCAGAGTTCACCTGATGCCCAAATGCCAGTATTTTTCAAACCAACTGCATATCAAAAAATGAAAACTTACTTTACCAAGCTCCTGGAAAGAAACTCAGTGCAAAACAACAGTATATTTCTATTTGCTATATTATTAAGTGTTCTTTCACCAGTGGTTTTTCTTTTTTTTTGCTTTTGCTTTACAGACCATTAACTTTTTCTGAAAGTGCAAACTGTTGACCTTTAATCTGAATGCAGGCAGGTCAGAAGCTACAGTATTAAAGCAATACAAAAGGTACACAAGGAGGAGCTTACATTAATTTGGAGAACCTCGCACAAAGTGTTTCTGAATTGAAAACCACAAAACAAACCCAAACAAATACAGCATCAGGTGGATGGGGAAGGGACCATTATCGTATCTGTGTACAGCAAGGATCCTCTGACACCAAGGAAGTTCATGACACCAAGTGAAGATTCTGTATTAAATCCCACCATTTTGCAGGTTGTGCATCCTTTACGATGGAATGTTGACCGCAATTTCCATTTTTCACTCCTACAACGAATCTGCTGATTGCGACCAGGGATGACCATCTTCCTGGGAGAACAAGCTCCCTTAGAACCATGGCTGCACTTTCTGCTGTCCATTAGGATTCCAGTAAAGTATGCCATCTACAGACTTGCTGTCCTTTAGATTCCTTCATTTCAGTCCAGTGGTTGAGTTCGTCTTCTCCTGAGCTGTTGAGACCTAAGGAAATCCAGCCTATCATCTCCTTCCGCTTCATGCTGCGCTTATTGTACACGGACAGTATGAGCGTCACGTCCGAGAGCTGGAACAGCGCCACCTGGAAAACGAAGGTTTCCTTGTACACGGGGTTCGGCTGCCCTCGGCGGATTGAAGTTTTGCATTTGGACATCTCCTGCCCCATCGAGTTCAGCAGTGTTAACTTAACATATGTATCTACAAAAGAAGTCATATCGTGGAACGTCAGATACCTTGGAACCGAAGATTTGGAGAATGAGGTATTTACAGAGAACAAGGATATGGTGTATACCAGGATGGCTGAACACAGCTTAGTTTAGACACATGGAGAGATGGCAAGTAAACAAAATATTACAAACACACAAACAAATTAACTAGCTCCAGCACTACATACATGGGTGAAGTTAAAGGTATACCTCATAATCCTCTTCCCATTGACCGCCCCCCCCTTGTTTAATCTAAAAAAAACTTAAATTGCAATAACACTTAGCAAGCTCCAGCTAGCCACAACACTGTAAGCATACCATTGAAATTTCAAAGAATATGGATAAATGAAGTGGAATAAAGGCAATTAATGAAGTGGGAAAAAAATTATGTCAAAATGCAGTGATGATACCAAAACAGCCAGGATAAAATGCTTAAGAATAATCTCTGCATGGATGTGGTTCTCATTTTGGGCTTTTCAGTTTTATTTATTTTGAAAACCAAAATGTAGCAAAGTGCATTCAAAGATGGCAGTTTACACAATACAAAAACCCCTACTATTTCCTAGATTCATGAAGGAATACATTTACCACATGTTTAAAGAAAAGCAAGTTTTTGCATAATTCAAGATGATCAAAAAGTAGCTTGTATGGTGCTTTTAAGCATACATTTAAGAAGCTGATGCAAGTAATGTAGTAAGCACACATTATGTATATATATACGTAATGCATATGTATACCCAAATGCGTATATATGTATACGCATTTGGGTATAAACCCCTATTTTTAAATATCTGTTTTCATTGGACCAAAAGCACCAAACCATGCTCCTGCAGAAGGATGCACATTTCATGAAGTTAACTAATTATAGGAAATATAAAATTATATGAAACAATTTCATATTTAATTTTTATTCCTATCTTTTTATATTAATGGATAATATCAATTAAAGGTTGGAGTTTATGTTTAAAAAAACACATTGAGTATTTTCACTTTGCAGGTACACTGAAACCCCAACATCCATAATCAGAGATAAATGCAACTTTTGCATTAGAGAGTGGCACAAAAAATAAACATGTACTTTTATAAACTGGCATGGTAGGCAGCTGTGGATATTCTATTGCTGGCAGGTTTCTTTTGCATGAAAAAGACAACATCCAATTAGTTTCTACAGGAACTCACCTCGGATTATATAAACCTGTCCACCTATCAAGTGTTTTAGACAACAGAACAGTCCGTCTGACAACAGGGGGTGGAAAGCAGTAAAAGAAATAATGACCAGATGTCAATAGTTGGGTGAGAGAGGATCAAAGGTTAAAGTTTAAGAGGAAACACTATTCATGGGAGTGGAAGAACATGAAACCTTAGCACTATAGATCAGAAAAAGGACTGAACAAAAGGATTGTTAGGTAAAATTTAATGAAGTGTAAATTTTGTGCAGTTTTTGTGTAGTCTTTAATAAAAATTACATTGCTTACATAATGGTTTATCTTAGGACTAGTAGACACTGGATTCAAAGCCACACTTACCATAGCAAGAATCCTCCAAATGATTAAGTTATAGCAGATTGGATAAAAATCACTGTATCCTTATCAAACCTTATGCTTTTTCATGCAAACTCCAGCATATTTAGAAAAACTGCACATTAAAGTAATTAAACTTCATATATTAAAAGCAATAAAATGAAAATAATTGAACAAAAAAACCCAGCTGGTTTTGCCCTTAACTTTTCTATTTTACTGATATTTGATTAGAATACATCACTACTTCTTGAGTAGTGATGAACTTGGGCACAAGAATGACTCTGATGTAGTCTCTAAAAAGAGCTGAGGGACACATACCTGAAATTCAGCAATGGGTCTCTATTTAGGATGTAAAGACCTTGCTTATTAAAATCCACATATTTATGGATTTAATGTGTGTGTGTGTGCATGCATACACACACGCATTTAATATGCAAAAGCTCATACCCTGTTTCAAGTATACCTTAAGGAAAACTGAGAAGCATCTTTTTCTTGGGCAAAATATTAACTGTCACACAGAGAAACAAAGAAAACACACCCACTGTTACTGCCTGCAGGATTTGGCCCATTTGCCTGTACTCAATTGCTAAATGAGTTACTATGCAATATATATATGCAGTAGAGGAGCATGTACTAGCAAGAAGTAGAAATTTAGTATTCAGTTCATATTTGCTGCAGAAGCACTTCACAAAAATTCACAAGTTCCCAAGCCCTAGACTACAGAAATGTGGGAAAGAGTAATTGCTTCCATTTCTATCACAGTTCCTCAATACATGAATGAAAACTGAACTGTTCATATACTTCGCAGCACTTCTCAGTATTCTGGACTGATAGTCCAAACAACAAATGTGAACAGGATATTTCTTCATCATCATCATCATCATCATCATCATCATCATCATCATCCTCACCATCCCTACAGGCCCTAGTTTTAATTTTGTGGAAATGATGGCACAGATTGAAGTTGGCAGATGTCCATGATGTACTCAACAGGGAGTTGGGATATGGCAGTGGCACGGACCTGGGTCCAGGAATTGAAAAGGTGCCACCAATGCTGGGGGCAGGGGAGGGGGATGGCATGAAACAGCCCAGAGGGTAAATCTGGATTCCACAATATTCTGTGCATGGTTTTACCAGACCCAGAAAGTTCATTAGTTTCCAGTTTTCTACAAAAGAACTCCGAACCCACATCTGCCTAAACAGAACTGGACTATTGTTATTACAAATATCAAATCTTCCCCTATCCTTCACAGGGACAAAAGGTAGCACGGAAACTCTTCCCTCTGAAAAGGTTAGACAGAACATGGTATTACAGGGCTGTGTGACATGTTCTATGCTCCTTTCTTGCAATCTGAAACAAATTTTTGACCCCAGTGACACTCACAACTGTTAGCTACACAGCATGGGCCCACTGAGCACATTTTGGGAATTAACATACTGGGGAGTGAGCATCTCTGTTTTCAAAACAAGCACTGAACCCCTCTCACCTTGCATATTCTAAATATTAAATAAAAACTGGCCATCTCTGAGAAAGATAAGCATCTGATTTTGCTTTTAAGGGAACACATGACCTCTTCTCTCCCTTTAATTTCTTCCCACACCCCAGTGTCCTTGGACCTCTTTGGCTTTCCCCATCTGTTTTTACACTTTGTCTCCAAACAGGTGACTCTGGGGCAGCTACCCAATTATATAAAAGCATTAGAGATTCATCTATTGCCTTCCTTCTCTGGCCATGTTAACAAAGTCTGGCTCTGTCAGTGTGAAAAGTATAGAGAAAGCAAAGCAGAGTAAGATGAGCCAACTATGACTAAAATAAACATGGGTCAAGAAAATGAGAAAGAGGAGAGAGCATCAGTATCAACTCTGGCTTACTTCCTAAGCTCTGAAGACAAAGTGAGATGTGTAAACCACTTACAAAATGTTGGCAGCCTAACACATAATCCAGTAGCAGATAATCTGCTAGTGCCATACTAATCTGAGGCTTAAAACCAGAAAGAGTAGCTGAAACCTGAGCCTCCAGATAAAATCAAAAGGAACAGGTAGGTATTTCTTATTAGCACTTAAGTAAATCAGACATGCAATCTTAAAAACAATAAAAATAGTTAAAAAAAAAAGTTTGTTACTGAACTTTCTGAAGCTATATGAAAGAGCTAGAGATAGTAATAACATTCTCTCCCTGTGACATTCCAGCTGGCTCCACTTAAGAAGTATAGGAAGTTCACAGATATTTCAGAAGTATATTTTTGAACAAATGCTTGAAGACACAATTCAAGTCCTTTTTGATGGTGAACATTCCTCCCGTACAGTAAATATGCCAAAGGCCTCAAGTGGTTGCTCCTTGTCTTTACTGACAATCCCAAATTACATATATTACCACATATATGCAGGCACATAGGCAATTAAAGACTGCAGCATCAACCCCTCCAGGAACAGCAATAACTGTTCAGAATGTTTATATTAATATTAACTGGCATGTACTTTCTCTTTAAACACTGACTTTTTTATTCTTGGCCTGTGATGTGAGGCATTAGTAATTTAGCAATTAATCATTATGATAAAGGTAATTTATTAGTCAGTCATCATGAAAAATTAAAACAGGCTTGTCAACTTACAATTAATATTTTGAATTTTAGATTTTTGCTATTTCCCAACTGACGAGAAATATAAAACATGAAACAGATTAGTTGATGATTGCTCTATTTCATTTTGATTGGGTAAGACTAAGTGATAAGATTGAAGTCCTTGCTACCAAGAGCCCCACCAGTACAGAAGCATTAGGATGAAAAAAGATTTTCACTCACTGGGTGGTCTGTTCGCTGCCAAGTTTTTGAAGTGGCTGCCTTTTATCACTTCTGCTGATAATCTTCCAGTTGTAGCATTATAAAGGAGGCCAATGAGGATTTCTGGAGCTGAGCCATGTACCAGAGACTGACAAGAGGAGGTACTTTCACTGCAGGACACTTCTGACATGCTCATTTGAGAGTCACAACCCTGTAAAACAGATTAAAAGTTCTGTGTGTCTTATGGAATGATGTTACTGGGAAGTAAATTTTTAGAATAATGCACAGAAAATTCTGAAAGCAACTTAGTCACAATAACAAGTTCCATTAAATCACCCAATATGAAATGTACATTCTTAATATATGCTTAATTTGCACATGTTAGAGGTAACAATAAAGTGGTCTGAAATTAAAACAATTATTAGGTGCTTCATGATTAAGGAGAAATAACAGCAGAAGATGAAGAACAGCCTTTATGATCCCTATTTACTTCAATTTCTAAGGTAAGACCTGTAACATGATTTGTCAGCAACCTGGAAAACATTAAACCTTGGACCTTTTACTTTCCAAAAAATGGACAACAACAGTGGAACCTTGAAGATAATAAAATGCAGAAAATTCTTATACATCCTTTGTAAAGGTTATTCTCTAGCCTGAGAATTTATGAGTAGCAAAATAACAGAACACATGCAATTAGAAAAATGCACTCTGTCTAGCATAAATTAGCTTACAAGGAATTTAACTGGATCCAGGGACACAGAACTGCAATAGTACCTTTGTCTTGGGTGGGAAAGGAAGAATGCCATCCAAAGCTCAGGAAGCAATGCTTTAATTTCAACCCTGAAAGCTTCCAAAAATCTTTCATGCATTCTGAATACATCACATCTTTAATGGGAGTTTCTATTACTAATTTTTATCGTTTTAACTCCTCATTATTGGCATTAAAAAAGGCAAAAATGAACTTTCTTTACGCTGCCATGCTAACCACATCATAGTTGCTCCTATTCTCATTTGCACTAGCACACAAGAGTGGTACCAAAAAACCAGAAAACTGGATGGCAAGGAGCCAATGGAATGACAATGTACTTGGTAACTGAGGAGAGACTTTTGAATTATCAGCACATCCCTTTATGATTCTCTCAGAAAAAGTGTAAATTGGGTCCACAGATTTTTCAAATATGGTTTGACTCATTTGGGAACCTGGCATCACTCTTCCAAGGAGTCATGATGATATTGTGAAGCTGATTCTTCTAGATTCCAAACGTCTCTATCATTTCCAACAACAGCTGACATGGGCATAAGATCAGACCTAAAACCTAAATAGCACAAATCCTCATCAAGATAAATGTTAACTTTATAAGCAAGTAACTTCAGCTGACATATAAAGCCCACATGCATTATAGAATCTCAAATGATAGAAGACACGATACCTACAATAATATCCCTTTTATTGACATTTTAACTAGTTCTTTTCAAGAGAACATTTCCCGAAAGTCTAGCAGAAGTTCCAAATAGCAATCCAGCTCCTCATTAAGAAATATTAACTATTGTTAGCAAATGTATTCTTACTACTGAAGAAGGACCTCAACAAATTTCTCTGACTTTCCTCTCCCAAGCTGCAAATTCAGAATCTTAAGTCTTTGGTTATTTCTCCAAAAGCTTTTTATTCAGTGGTAAGAATAAATTTCAAACTGCTTGCAAATTGTTAATTGCTGAAAATTAATTACAAGTATATATTCATTCTCTGATCCTTGTCATTCATAGAACGGGAAACCTTTGATTCCTAACTTCAACAGAAGGAACAAAATGGAAAGTTTAAAAGAAAGATGACTTGATTCAGCAGTCAGAGTATACACTGCACACTTGGAAAACCTCAGCCTGTCACAACTGCAGCTATTACTTAAGCTTTCTGGTCTTTTACAATTGTAACACACTATACCCATGGTGCTGATTCACCTTATAATTTTTTGAGCCAGGAATTTTAGCACAGTCCACCTGACACTGTTCAAAGCTTAGTCTCAAATTTGATTGAAACCATGCTGCAAGCACACACACACAAAAAAAAAAAAAAAAAAAAAAAAGATATAACACAAAGATGGCAGCTCAGTAACATTGTCCCCAAATCCTCCAAGGCTTTTGATATGCTGAGAGAAGGTGATGATAGTGCCTTTTCCTAACTGGGATTTATTTGTACAGTTTACTGATGTCCTAAGAGGGACTTAGAAACCACTTTATGACAGAGTCAAACTCACTACAATGGGTATCAGAGTAAGGTTTAGCCTGTTAGAAACAGTGAATATTAAATGAGTAACTACTGAGTGGAAATGAGGCCTGAAGTACCAAGAAAGAGAAGACAAGTAGCTTCTGTGTGGTATAATAGAGAAGCAGGAAAACAACTAAAAAATTCAATGTGTGGCATTCCAAAGCTACATAAGCAGGGACTAGAAATACCACTCCTTTACAGCAGAATCCTGAGTAGACAGGAGAAGGACAAGATTGCCTTTTTCAAGGCCAAGCAAAAGGATCTCACTAGCTGAATGGTGGGGTGAAAAGACCAAGGTGATGCTTCGGAACTCTAAGTGGATGGAAATGTAACTAAATGAGTGTATTGCCTTTTTCAAGGCCAAGCAAAAGGATCTCACCAGCTGAATGGTGGGGTGAGAAGACCAAGGTGATGCTTCAGAACTCTTAAGTGGATGGAAATGTAACTAAATGAGTGTACCTTAGAAGTGTTGCACAGAAAGAACTGGTAGATGTAAACTACATGAAAATCTGGAGAGAGCATCTAACTTAAATATTCTGCTACAATATTTTCTGAACTAAAATATTTTTGCAGGTTTGAGAAAAACAAATGAACGTTGTTTAATCCTTATTTTATAATAAACTTACGTATCTCCTTTCTACAAAACTGTGGGGACACAGACATGACATTAAAATAAAGCAATTAAATTCACTAAAGGAAAAATATAAGCAGCACTTTGTTTTCCCTTTCACTCTAAAAGAACCTCAATTTCAATTCATTTTGTTTCATGCTGATGCAAATGGATTAAAAAAAATACTCTGCTTTTTAGTTACGAACTGGAAAATCCTAATACAAGAGAAAGTGAAATGTTAAGAAGGAAAACGAAGCAGATTAGAAGACAGAATGATGTTACCGAGTTAAAAAAAATAAACAACATTAACCAAAGTATACCTTCTGTGGCTATAACAAGGAAGAAAACAGAGGATTTAGGGACAGGTATGTAAAAGACCTGATGAAAAGGGGAGAGAAAGACTGCATTCTGTCTTTTAAAAGAAAACAAAAATTTTATGAGGAAGAGAAGAAACCAGAATCACAAGACTGCATTCTGTCAGTTTTCTTTTAAAAGAAAACAAAAATTTTATGAGGAAGAGAAGAAACCAGAATCAAGAATCGTAAGAGACAGCTGAGATCAGCTGGGCTTAGACCAACAACTAAAGAAAGACTTTCCCTTGCAGGGCGAAGTTAAAAGCAGAGATATTGAGTACTATTAGATGTCTTCTGAAAAGTATTTTCTCCAGCACACAGTTTATTGTTCACATTGTGGAAATCCAGTCATTGTTTTAAGGAAGATATTCCATGATAATAACATCTGTGGGTAAGTAACCAAACTTTGTGCTAAGTCATACGCTGCAGTAGAAATGGAAAGAACAGCTTTATTAAAGTTTCTGTTTAGAGGTTGTTTTTCTGTTTACACAGCTCAGAATTCTAGAAGAGCACTAACAAACTCATCAAGAAAAAAGCCAGACAAGAAGTTATGCTTTTACCTGCTCAAAATATAACCTTCAAAATCAAGTGCCAAATTGTAAAATATCAGCACTGAAATTGCTCATTGGTACAACATGAGTATAGATGGAGCTCCAAAGACAACATTACAGTGCAACCAGATGCTTTTCACCTCCATGCAGGTCTGCATTCAATCTGTCTATAAAGCTCTCCATAGCCCACTTTGGTACTGCTGCTTCCCTGTGGGAAACTCAAGATTCAGACCAAAAGTTACTATTTGTTACAAATAATGTCTGTGTAAGTTTATTTTCAAAAAGTTTCCCTCTCATCCTTTATATACACTGTGTGTAATTTAACAAGCAAGGAAAAGAAGGACTAAGGTTCCATAAAAGCAAAGGCTTTTCAAGGTCACTGAAGCACCAGAAGAGCCTAGTGAGAACTGTCACAAAACCTTGTATGTGAATTTTTAAGAACTTAGACGAACAGTCAAAGTGTTACTGATCTGCCTACAGTGCAAGAAACTGTCTCTTGAGGTTGTCTCCAGGATGTTAATACTAAATCCTGAACCCTTTTTGTCAATTTAGCTATAAATACATTATTAACAGTAAACACCGCAAAAAAAAAAAAAAAAGTGAAGTCTATTACAAATATTTGGTTCATGTATCTGTCTCACTGCAATATATAAAAAATGTTCAGCTTTTGAATTGTCTAACACAAAGCTATGTACAAAGGACCTAAACTTTCCCATATTAACCACAGGATAGTACTTTGTAATAAAGTTAGTCTGATTTTATTTGATCAACACTTACAAGAATTGCTGCTCTCCACTAGATTGTAAAAGTAGTATGTGTCATATTCTACAAAAACTTAATTACTAATTCTCCTAACTATTGTCCTTGATGACTTCTTTGCATATATTATCTGGGGAAGAGACATTACTTCCTAATAAATATATAATAAAAACCATTCCCATTAAGCAGGCTTTGTATTTCATATGTTCCCATTCTACAAAAGCTGGCAATCAAAAAAAGAACACTCTTTTTTCCCCTCATACCACATGAGGGGACATGAACACATAGAATGCATGATGTCAGACTTCAGCCCCTGAGAAGTATTTTCAATAGTGTTTTTCTCTCCCCTCTTACAACATAGAGAATTATCTATTTGCATCCATGGTAAAATACGTAAAATGTATTTATTTGTCTTCCTTCCCCATAATTCCATGGAAACACCATATTTGTTACTTACATATTCATTTCCTACTGTTATTTTTTTTATAGCCTGAATTTCTGCTTATAATTTCTGCTCTTAAGCCAACTGGAGTTAATGACAGGGAATAATGTGGCCATGCTCTCAAAGAAGTTAAAAGTTCATTTTCCTCAATGCACAGGTTACAATCATATCTCTGTAGGCTTACGAAATAAGAATCTGACTCTTTTGGCTTTTCAAAATATACACAGAAGAGA